TTTCACCATTCATTCGAATTGCATCTATTAGGGTATTAATTTCAATTGTTTCTATTTATAATTTACTTGTACACCAAATAGATGTTAAAACAATTTTTTTAAACCGTGACTTAGAAGAAGAAATCTATATGGACCAACCGAAAGAGTTTGTGATTCATGCTCAAGAAAACAAGGTCTGTAAGTTGGATAAGTCTTTGTATGGTCTAAAACAAGTTCCAAAGAAATGACATGAAAATTTTGATAACTTAACAATATCGAATGGCTACAAAGTGAATGAAAGTGACAAATGCGTTTATTACAAATATGAGAATTCCATTTGCATTATCATATGTTTCTATGTAGGCAATCTACTTATATTTGGATCAAATATCCATGTCGTTGATGATGTGAAATTATTATTGTGCAGCAACTTTGATATGAAAGACCTCAGAGAAGTGAACATGATTCTTGGTATCAAGATTATAAGATCTGAGCAAGGAATTTATTTGGATTAATCACACTATTTTGAAAATCTCTTAAATAAATATAATTACTTTTACTGTAAACATGTGAGAACACCATACGATCCAAGTATGAAACTGTTTAAGAACATTAGTGAAAGTGTCACACAAATAGAATATGCGAGCACCATTGGCAGTCTTCGGTATGCCACTAATTGTACTAGATGTGACATTATATATGTTGTAGGGTTGTTGTGCAAATTTACTAGTAGACCGAGTAATGAGAATTGACAAGCTATTGAGTGAGTCATGTGGTACCTTAAAAAGACTGTGAGTGTCGATTTTTATTATCAGAGATTTCCTGTTGTACTTGAAGGATACATTGATACAGATTGGAATACCTTATCCAATGATTTCAAAGAAACTAGTGGCTATGTATTCAATATAGTTGGAGGAGTTGTATCTTAGAAATCAATGAAACAAATTCTCTTGGATCAGTCCATAATGGAATCTAAGATGATAGCATTAACGAGTGCTAGTGAAGAAGCAAGTTAGTTAACATGCTTGCTAGCTGAGATCCCTTTATGGGAAAAAACCTATGCCAGTTGTGTTAATCCACTATGATAGATTCGAGACTATTGAAGAAATTGAGAACCGTTATTACAATGGTAAAAAATGTCAAGTTAGAAGAAAGCATAACATTGTTAGAGATTATATCTCTAAATGATCTATAAGAGTGGGTCATGTAAGCACTGATAAAAATTTAGGCGATCCTTTTAAGAAAGGATTAGCTAGAGAAAAAGTCTATAATACATCCTATAAGATAGGACTAAAGCCTATAGAAAATTGAGTTGCTCATAATGGTAACCCGACCTAAAAGACTATAGATCCTAAGAAATATGTTCAATGGGTAATAACAAGTTATGAGTAATATGGGGTGATCATACTAGATTAAATGAGAGAATCATGAATCTTGAAACGATAAGAGGATGAGACAATATAAACTCTTAATTAGTTTTATATTCTATATGAGGGAGTATCTAGGCTACAAGACTACTATTGATAGAATCACCTATGTGATTGTGGAACTTAGGTTGGTTCCCATAGAATTTTGAGGCAGAATTCTTAGAGTCTTCACTAAACTGGGATACACGTGCAGGACCATTAAAGCATGGGCTATTAGAATACACCTTAAGAAAAGGTTGTGTGCGAGTTTTATGTCTGAGACGTTTAACGTTACTTCTAAAATCACTTTTTTTTTAAGTTCAAGTTAGGGATTGTTTGAACCCTTTGGATGATGAAAATTTGGAGTGGAAGAACTGATTGGCATTAAATTGGTAATAAATAAACACAAGTATGAACTAATATGAATGGAAGTGAATTTGAAAAGATTCATTTTAGTCTCACATAAGAAGGACAATCCATATTAGTAGTGCTTTTATATTCTAAATGGGCAATATGGGTTAGGCCCCGAGGGATATCCAATTTTGTAAAGGAATGCGAGCACACCACCAAGCCACATTCACACACGCACGTGCGCCGCCATTTGGCCAACCGACTCGGCTCAGCCCGGTCTTGGGCTTGTGCATTGATTAATTATTTATTGATAAAAATTAATTAATACGAATTAATTAATAAATCGGTGAAAATTAATAATTATTAATTAATTGATTTGGTGGAAATTAATTAATTTAACTAATTAATCATTTATGATGTGTCCTCTACCAAACTCTAGTGTTAACCTAATTTTTGACTAAGTTTATTTCCCTTCTAAACTTCTGTTGTTCCTTGTTGACCAAGCTCCATTAAAGCTAGTTTAGATCTGACTCACTCCAACCCCTAGGATTCTTTCTCTATTAGGGTCAGTTCATCGACTATAAATAGTGACTTTTCAATCACTTGCAACTCACACTAGATTTCATAATCTGAAATCTCTCTCTTCTTCTGTGGCTATTTTCAAAATCTAAAAATGACAATTTTTTTTTTATAATTTAAAAATTAAGTGTTATTCTTGTAGATCAACTTCATCTCCATTACATTGAAAGCCCAAGTCCTCAGCAGTGAAACACCTCTTATTACATATATTATTCCTAGTTGTGAACAGCACAAATTCCTCAACCTTCTTTCATATAGATACTCTATATGATTTATATAGACCACTTAAACAAACCTCTAACTAAAATAGGATAACATACATAGTTATAATAGATTTGGCCAAAATTGTTTAATCGAATTAACAACTTACAATAGACTTATGCTCTATGATCTATGATGTTGCAACATCTTAGAGAGACATGATTTCTTTATAAAACGAACCAAATATTTAGATCCTGAATTCATGGTTGCAATTTGCAAATTTGGTTACACAAAGTGCAATAAATGCAAAAGAATGAAGATCGAATTTAATTGGATACAAATCAAGGGTTTTGGGGCCACTACCACTAGCATACGTTGCCAATGGGTTCAAAACACATGTAATTTCATTTTTGAAGAAAAATCTAACTCTCTTTTTCTTTAGACAGCTTATGTCTTCTTCATAAAGTTTATGTAGTCCAACATGGAGACATTTAAGTTACATATCACACTCTTAGACATATTGTACAGTACTCTCTTGTCCAAAAATTCTACCTCACCTAGGACCCCATCTTCTTCTACAATTTCATTACAAAATTTCTAAGTCCATACACTCACCAAACACGGTGACAATAAACACTACATTACGACAATGGTTGGTTGAGGCCTTGTTTTGTTCTTTTGTTTTCTTTACCTACCATATGATTTTGTTTTCATTTTAAATAAAGTCCTAGTAACTACCTAGTGAAACTGAAAAATTAGATCACAAGGATAGTTAACTCAACAATTTTTTTCTAACCATATATATATATATATATATATATATATATATATATATATATATATATATATATATATATATATATATATATATATATATATATATAATATATATATATATATATATAAATTTTTAAATAAAAAATTTAAATTCATTTTTAATATTTTTCAATACTGATTCGGAGATTCTAGTTTCAATTCAATTTATTTGACATTTGGTTCAATTCTAAAACTGTTTGTGCAATATAGTTCGATTTACTATGCAAATAAAATAGTTTAGTTATTTTAATTTCAATTCGGTTTAATTTGGAGGTTCCATTCGATTCACGATTTTTTATCAATCCTATAGACCAAATCCAATGAGACGAAATAATTTATTTCCCTCGCTAGGGTAAATTGATAAAGAGAGTACATTGTTTAACAAAGGAGAGAGAGAACTTGGTAAGGGGGGTTGGATTGAAAAGCATGTGATAAAAGAGATGAAGAGGAAAGTATTGGTATGGGCTTATTAATGATATATGTATGAGAAACATTGGGGGTCATGTGCTAAGAATAAGGACCTGTGAAGTAAAAAGAGTCTTTTAATTCATTGAAACATATAGCAATGCTAAAAACCTTCTATTTTTAAATTCTTTGGGCTTTCATCACCACATGTATGTAATAGTACTATGAGGCTCAAAGCAATATAAAGAAATCCTAAAGAGAAACTTTAGTTTCATTGCCTTGGATTCTAGTTTACATGTCCATGATCAAGCATGTGGCAATTAGAGTACTATTCACTCAACCTCATTAATGGTTTTAAATTGCATATGTTACACTTTTTGATTATAAGAAGCTAACTCATAATTTGGAATAGCATGATCAATATAACGAGATGGTCTGTTGGAGGAAGACTTGAGATTTAAGAGTGTGATTCTTTCAAAGTTTCAGTTATCTCAAAATTGAATTGGTCTGTTGGTGAAGACTTGAAATCTGACTAATCTGACTGTGATTCTCTCAAGGTCTCAGATGTTTTAGAATTGAATTGGTTTATTAGTGAAGACTTGAAATCTGAAAGTTTAATTTTTTAAAATTTTAGGTTTCTCAAAAACAACCTCATTTAAAATTTCATTTTGTTCATTAATAAAATAAAAGTTACATGAAATTTAGAACCATGCATAAGGCTGTCTGAGAAAAGGATATTTTGACTGTGTGTAATCATGAAGCCTTCCAACACTATGGTAATACAGAACTGTGGATCAGAAAGTGAGTTAGAAAATTGTGAGTGCCAAGTTTTCCCAGTTAGCTTTTATGCTTAAAGTGATCATGTTCAATGAATGTAAAAAATATACTTTATCAAAAGGTAAAATAAATAGAATAATTATTATAAGGAAAATGTTTATTATTAAGAAAAAGTAAAAAAAAGACAAAAATAAATCTCAATCATTTCTTATCACAATCACTCCATAATTTCTATTAAAAAAAAGAATTTAATTTATAATAAATTAAAAATTATTTATCAAATTAACGACACTAGTATATTCTTGTCTTTCTTAATTAAATTCTTTGTACATTAATCTTATCAAAATTAATTCAAATAAACTTCCAAATAGGTTTTGAAATTAAAGCTTTCCACTTAATTTGTTATAGTACTTGAATTATGACTTTTTATGTAGTTTGCATTTGAAATAATAACAATTATTATGACTTTTTCCACCACTGACATGCTCAACTTGGGACTTTTAAGAGTGAGAATATGCAAACTGTTGCTTTTAAAAGAAACCACTTTTTTTTCTTCCCTTCATTTCTTTGCTCATAAACAGTACTACTTGAAGATAATTTATCACAGATGATGATGTTCTTCGACTCTTTCTTGAGATTTAAAATTTTTTCATATAATTTCTGCAAATATAAACACCAAATAAAAGCAATAATATGCAATAAATTAAACATAAAATTTATATTGTTTTACAATATTAGCACTTTCCTTAAAAGTACATCTAGAAACAGTACACATAATGGCTCTTATTTCACAAATCTTATTGCATCAACTTCAAAATTCGTACTTCAAGTTAGCATAGTAATATATAACTGCTCAAAACTGTAATAATTCAATGTATATATTATATGTATATGGTGATGTATATACATATACCTAGGGTTCTAAAAAATTGTCTTGAACACATTAATTTTAGATCACAGCATTAAAGTTTTAGTTTTACCTGGTAGGGATCCAATTATTGAAGAACATTTTACCAGAAACATGTGGATCTATGAAAATTTGAGGTTATGAATTCAACCATATAAGATATAATCATAAAAATTAAAGTTAAAATTAAAAACTTGCATAAAAATATAATTCCATAATTTAGTAAAGTGGAATAGGGTTAATTAAAAACAAGGTCAAAATATGAAACTTACATGAATATGATGCGACTCTTCTATAATTGAAGTTAATGTTGATTGTTCATAGTAGAAGCCACTAAAGGAGGAATCCAAAGGGATAGCATGATCTGAGAATGTAATTAAGAAAAATCGACTTAATTAGGTTTGAGATCAATGCGATCCCTTTGGATGTCTCCTCTAGTTGCAATGGAATTATTACCAAAACTTCATCTTCTAGCTTCAAAATACTTCAAGTTTGAAATAAGTATATAATAACTTATCTTCTTTCATGGCTGAAGGAAGTTGAAAGGCTATGTGTTTGAGGCTTTGTACAAGAGGTTTCCAATGGGAAAGAAAAGCAGTACTTATATAGCACCAAAGACTCTCTTTCTCTTTCCACCATCATTTTTATTTTAATAAAAGTAAGATTTTATTTCAAATCATAAAAGTCTTACATTTACTGTTTTAAATTCACTAAATAACGATTTAGTAAATTAAATTTATGAGTGGGTAGTTGAAACTCCCTTTTGTTTATAATTCAATTTAAAATAAAAAATGTATTTATTTATGAATTTCCATTAATTGACAGTATTTATTAAGGGTTGCAGAATAATGTGAAAATGTTATGCAAAAAATAAAGATATTTAAGAGATGTAGAGCCCATTCCCTAAAAATCCAGGCATATGGAAAGAAAATTTACCCGACAATGGGTCAGCTATCCATTATTGGAAATTCTCTACAAGTGGCCAGCAATATATATTTATTATTCTCTTTCTTCACCTAAAAGAAAAACAACTGATTTGATTCTCTAAAAAATTTCCCTCTTTATTTAAATCAAACCCTTGTGGTCCAATATATGTTCCCACTCACTCACATTAAACACTGCAATAATACCTTTTTCACAAGAGTATACCTACATTATATACGAGTAGAGTTTTAAGATAAACACACATTGTTTATACTCATAAGAGTGCATCAATAGTGTGAATCATAATCATATTGAATGGACCATGGAGTAAATAATGAACATCATCAAAGATATATACTTGAACAAAACCAACTAGTGTAGATGCTTAAACATGTTAATTATTGATGGTTAAATTACAATGACTCATTTTTTGTATTGCTAATCACAACATGATTTAGTGGTAGCAAACTTTTCAAAAGTAATCGATATCATCTTCCATTTCTAGTAAGTTTCCATGTTTACACTCAATCATCTTTACCCATCCTCTTACATCATAATCCTAAGATCTGACTTTACTAGAAAATATATAATTTCACTTTTTTGTTTGTTAAAAACTAATAAATATATTAAAGGATATAGTTTATATGTGTTTACAGTATAATATGTATTAAACTACGTCACTAATTAGTTCTATTATAACAACTAATTCCCTATATCTACACTATGCTATAGCATATGTTTGGTTTTACGTTTGAGTATTTAGAATTGATTATGGATGTCAAATTGATTTTGATACGTTGTTGTTTTCGAATATAATTGATTATATATTTTAGAACTAGTTCTACTTAATATTATATGATTTGTAGCGTTTGAATCTAAACTTGATTTTTACATTGAAATTACCATTTATACATAATAGTTTTACTTAAAGTTAATGATTTGTATCTTTTTGAAAATTTGGTATTTTTGCCACGTACTCGTTCAAGATATTCGATTTTACCGTCCACTAATGGGATTTATTTAATGGGGTTTAAGTATGAGTGAATTTGTTAATTATTAAAATACTTTTCACTATGGTTCAAATTAACAACCGTGGTAATAGGTTAGTGAGTGATGTTTTCTGAATTTTAGCACAATTTTTTTAAATATTTTTTCGTTACAAAAAGGGCGTGTTCTCACGATTTCTATATTTATATTAAAATTAAACTATTTTTCATCACGGTCTATAATAAAAATCATTGTGAAATGTACTCATAATTTTAAGCTGAACCAGAATAATTTTAGTGTGTTGTTTTCTATCTCTTATCTCTTTACATTATCACATTTATCTTTATTTCTTCTACTACTACTGCTCTCATCTCAAACAAAACTTGTAAAAATCTTTCTACTTTTGAAAGAAAAAATATATCATAGTTTGTCTTAACCTTCTTGTAATTAAAGTCATTTGGTTAATAAGTGGTATTGGAACCTAACTCTTATTTAAAGACTAATCGTCTCAAGAAATAAGATGATTTTAAACAATTTATTAAACAAACTCCATCTTTCTATGGTGAAAGATATGACACCGGAAAGAGAAAATGAAATTATTTTTGAAAAAGATGGATTGTGATATTTATGATGCTATTAAAAAATTGTCTTTTTTTTCCACACATCAAGTTAACGACATGGGGCGAAACTAACCTAAAAACTTATAGAACTAAGAGAATAAAGAAAATGTGAAGTGCATTTTGAAAGTTGTAACCAACATTACTATCACTTTAGATATTGATAAAAAAAATTTATGTATCATATTTAACAGCATAAAGAAATGTGG